TACAACATCTTCTCTAAAATTAGCATTACTGTGCCATAAAAAATGGTTGATGATCCAAAATGTTTCTTAGCTTTGTTAACAGGACTTTCTCGTCGATATTATCATGGACACACGGAGTTAACAGATGATGTCCTTAAAGAGGAAATTTATCCTAATGCATCTCAAGATGATTTTAATCGTCTTAATTCCAGAATAGCGGGTTTATTAAAAAATATGGTATCAGCTGACATGGACATGACTCAGCTAGAAGCATTCCTCTCTGCCCAGATAAGAAAGAAGGAGGGTGGTCTTTCTGAAGAGCAAGCTGCTGCTCTTAGGAAATTCTGGAAAGCTAACAAGGCAAAAATTCACGATAGCATAGTCTCACAAACCATGTGGGGAAACACTCTGCAGAAAGTGTCCTGGCGTGTGGATTTGAAATCTCAGTCACGTAACCTTGAACAAATAAATATTCCAACTGCTATCATGGAGATTCATTTAGCAGACAATTTAAATAAATCAAAGGGACCAGAAGTAGTGAGATTTGAAATGGATGAAAACAAGGTCAACGATATGCTGAAAAATATGCATGAAATAGAAGAGGAAATAAACAAACTTGCCAAAAAATAGATGATGAAAAATAAATTATATATATTAAAAAAAAAAAAAAAAATTAGCATTACTGTTTAAATTTAAGCACTCCACACCTCATCCATCACCAAATAATTAGTATTCAAATTATCAAATGTTTTTGAAAACCTAAGCGAAGCTAGGCAGTATGCCTAGTATATATATACATATATATATATATATATATATATATATATATATATATATATATATATATATATATATATATATATATATATATATATATATTGATTACAATTATGATTTTATTTTTTTCTAATATCACTTATAATCCATATCAACATCAGCAATTAGTTGTCGATTGGTGGTCGCCCACTTTAAAGTCGCTGAGGTGATCTAAAAGTTAAATATAATTAATTCTGTCGACGAGATGTGAAACGCGGTAAGGTATCACACACATTACAGCAGGCGGTGATACAGGCTTAATCCCCGTTGGATGGCATCAATCTAAAATAGAATCAAGCACAGGATTACATCGGATTAGGAAGCTGTGAAAATAAAATTGTGTAAACGTTTGTGTTTTTTATGTTGCGCATGCGCAGCAGTGTTTCTTTCAATTTTTTTAAACTGCGGAAGGGCTCTTGAAAAATTTCGAAGGGGCTAAGTAACCAAATTTTCCGGGTGATGGATACTGATAAAGTATATATTTTGTATATCTATATATATATAATTCTCTTCTTGGAGACGCTAGAAAACACCAAGCTGTAAGCGCGCTCCCCACCACCCCCACCCCTACATGGTCTGGTAAACTGTGGTTCACGCTAAATGTTTACAATCGTAGAGCCGGGTTTAGTGACGGCTTTTAGGGGCAGATAATTTAGTGTGAAGCGATTTTAAACTTAGGGGAGGTTACTAAGAGGAGGCTGCTTTCACGGGTGGGTAAGGGTTGGGGAAAGGAGGGGTGGGGGTTATCGTCCTTAACGAGTTACTGATAGTGTTTTAAAGCAGAGATATTCAGTGGCAGCATTGGTACTGTCGAATTCACAAATTATGAATTACTGAAAAGTAGAAAATAAAACTACTAAATAGCGGCGTATTATACGCCGCGGGTCGGCTCGTAAATTATATTTTGTTCGTTGAGAAGGGGGAGGGGTAGAAGTATCTCGGAGTTGGGGCAGAGGCGTAGCGATGGGGGGCGGGGGATACATTTGTACACGGGCGCCGACCCTAGGGGGCGCTGACACTAGGGGGCGCCGACCCTAGGGGGCGCCAACATGGGTTGGAAACAAATTAAAAACTCATTTTGTCTGCAGTTTTGCAATATAAATATAAAAATTTACCGGGGGGGGGGGGTGTGGGCGCCATATTGAAAGTTTGACCCGGGAGATTACATCTTTGTACCCGGGCGCCGGGAATGGTCATTACGCCTCTGGTTTGGGAGTAGGGCGATGATGAGTTGAAAGAAATAAAAGATGAAAGATACACGGATACGCAGTAATAGAGATTTCAGAACGTATTTCATTAATATCCGAAATAAAGAGGCCGAACCGATCGAGTCGGATTAAAAAGGGCGAAACATGGAAGCGTGGAAAATACATTTTGCCGACCAGCATAGAGGACGCTAGGTGGAAGGCATTTTTTTCCGCAGACGTTCCCTATTAAATATTGAATGAATAGATAATCCCTTTATTATAGCAACGTGTTATGAAACAGCGTGTTAAAAAACAATTAAAACTTGAATGTTTTTACACACTTGTGTGAGTGAGTGTGGGGGGGGGGGTGTTATTTTTTAATTATTATGTTTTTTTCTGTGGTTAAGTCTCGTATTTCAGCATGAAAATATTTACATAAGCTTAAATAAAAATCAAGAGCTGTAGCGTATTATAAACATGATATTAAAGCAATTGTTTTTTAATATCGGACAATTCTTATATAACCAGTTTTCCACAATGATCCATCACATGTTTCGCTGTATTTAAAAATAAACTGTACGCGCCATAGGCAAAACTTCTTAAAACGACTCTTTTCACAAAAAATAATTATTAAAACATATGTATAAGAAGACAATTATGTAAAAGTAACATTAATTTATTATCAATTGCATACACTTTCAGAGGCGTAGCGACCCTTCCCGGCGCCCGAGGACATACTTTTCGATTTGCACCCCCCCCCCCTTCGAGATTTCGATTTGCACCCCCCCCCCCCTCAGACTTTCGATTTGCACCCCCCCCCCCTTCGAGATTTCGATTTGCACCCCCCCCCCCCCTCAAACTTTCGATGTGCACCCCCTCCCCCATATCAAACTTTCGATTTGCACCCCCTTGAACCTTTCAATTTATTTTTCCAACCCATTTTGGCGCCCCCTAAGGTCGGCGCCCGGGGACATATGCCCCCCGCCCCTCCCCTCGCTACGCTACTGTACACGTTATATGTAGACATCAAAATCAAATTTTACGTGCCTCCTTCGTCTCAAACGTTTGTACTAAATTCTTCAATTTTCAATTTGCAAGCGCAGTCACATTTTATTGAAATTATTGCTAAGTCCACGAGTCTACCTTGTACTTTACGAGATAACCCCCCCCCCCCCCCCCTTTAGACAATTTTAAGTGCTCCCCCCCACCCCCTCCCGGGAGAGAAAAGTGCTGGAAAAAAAAACACTGAAAAAAAAAGTTGGGCTCTCTGCAGTCTTCCAAATGAGAGTTCCAAAGCGGATATTACCTGTTTTAAACTTGACTGTCTATATTGTATGATTATGTAACGATTTTTTTTTGAAAAAAAAAAGGTTATAAATTTTATAGATTCCAGCCTAAAGTTTTTTATATTTGAATCCTTTAGGAGAGGGTGGAAAATATGAAAAGACAATTAATTAGATGTTTAATTTACGACTAAGACTGTATGGCTACTAACATTATGTATGCAATCTACAACGACTACTGGTGTATTGGTTTTTCAACATGCTAATACTAAAAACACCTACCAAACTATTTTGTTTAGAACTTAGGCTCTATATAATTTTTAAAATAGCAAATAACAACTTAAAGTTGTATTTATGCGTAAGCGGTCAACCCAAGGAGCAGTAAATTGAAACGAATGTAAAGTTAAGCAACGAATTATCTCCCATTTAAAAATTCAAATACCGAAATTGTATACAAGGGAAATAACTTACATAATAATAGCTAAATTAATTAATTGTAATTAAGACATGATAGAAAAAGAATTAAACGATCTAAATTTCATTACGTTATAATTATAACAAATCTTTTGTATTAGCAATGTAATCTTGTAAAAACAATATATTTCATCTATTGAATACTTAACTATAGGTTTTGTTTGAAAGTCTAAAAACGGTAGCTTTATTATAACATACTTCTATTCAATTTTTATGACATCAAATATTGAATTATACATACAGTTAAAATTAAATTAAATATTTTGGATCCCTAAAATAAAGGGACGCTTTTTTTAAGATATCGCTATAATTTTTTATTAAATTTTGAAAATATAATTTGAAAAAACAAAGATTACGGTTAGTTATAAATTCCATCCTATTTTATATTATATATTAATACTTTAAGAGTGGTAATATAGATTCCTAAAAAAATTAAAGATTTTTCAACCAGAGAACGCCTACCTTTCTTTGTAGTGTGTTCCTTACTAAATTGAAATCATTTAACTTAAGATGAACTCGACTACTCGAAATACTCTACTACAATCACAATGTACTACTTCCGCCGTTACTCCCAAATCTAAACGATTCATCAAAACTTACCAAACAAGTAGGCCTACTCCGTCATTACAAAACTCTATACACCAGGACAGATTTCTAATTCAAAGTCAGAGAAAACGAGACTTACAAGCCCAATTAAAATTAGATAACCGTTTGAAATGTTCGAAATTCAAATTACGAAATTATTTTCTCGTTTTCTATATCAATTATGTGACACCAAATTAAAAAGGCAATGTGACTGGTAAAAAGCGCCCCGACCTTTCCAAATTAGGGAGGTAGGGTTGCATTTTCCCGATCTCGGATAAATATAGCACTATATAAGACCTAATTTTGGGGTGGGGGTGCAGAATTGATAGTTCGTCCTGGGTTCCGAAATAGATCGCTACTCCTTTATAAACGTTATTAATTATTAGATACTTTTTGATAATGTCGATTAAACATTTACAGACAAAATTTCAAAACTTTTTCCGACTCGGAGAGGTGTAACACGTCGAGATTTGTGAAAATCTCGATTTTTTTTTACTATACTTTATATAAGAGAAAGTAAAAAGTATATATGTGTGTGTCTGTGTGTGTCTGTGTGTGTCTCTGTGTGTCTCTGTGTCTGTGTGTGAGTGTGTGTGTCAAAATTCCCAATGACAAAACCCCACTTTATTACTGACATGTACACTGCGCTAAACCTGACTGGTCCTTTTTCCTGCAGTGACGGAAGGTGAGTGGATTCTCGTGTTCCGAGGACAGGCCTTTAACAATGTGTCGCTCTACTCCACCTACATAAACACCGCCTACGTCAGCGATGGAGACTTGGGTGCGCTGGACCTCTCCTCCATTTCGAAAACCGGCGACAACTCTTCTGCGCACTTCCGGTCAAGATGGCTAAATACCTGGCCCTCAAACATCACTCAGGTATTGTGGATTCCTTGACCCCCTTCACAGAAGCGTAGCGAGGGCGGGTGGGGGTACATATGTCCCAGGGCGCCGAACCTAGGGGCGCCAAAATGGTTTGGAAAAAAAAAATTAAAAGCTGTTTTTGCTGCAGTTTTGCATTTTAAATATAAAAATATATGGGGTCGGGGGGCAAATTAAAAGAATTTATATTTAATTATGATGGAGAAAATTCCGTCGAATATTACAATTAAGAAAGAAAAAGAAAAAGATTCCTTTAATAGCTTAAATTCTTAATGACTTCTTCCCTTCGTTATTTTAGTTCTTAATTACTTGATTCCTGTAGGCCTATGCCTTCATGCCTTAATATTTTTATACCTCCATATTTTGATTCCTTCGTTACTTTATTTCTTTATTCCTGCTTTTTTATTGCCTGTTTATTCGATCAAACAATTATTTGTTCTTTCTTGTATTCGTTCATTTTTTCATTCGTTCATTCGTATACTAATACTTTCTTAATTTCTTAATTCGTTTACTCGTTTCGTTCATCTGTTCACCTTTTTAAATGAGTGTTGATTTATTAACTCTTTTATTTGTTCTCTTATTATTATGTATCCGTTTATACGTGTATTCTTTTATTTATATTTTTTTTTCACGAAATATTTCTTTGTGTTATATTATAAATTAGCTGCTAGTGCCATCAGCCTGGGGTTGCTAGGGCCAGTGTGTAGCCTGGGGTTGCTAGGGCCATGTGTAGCCTGGGGTTGCTAGGGCCAGTGTGTAGCCTGGGGTTGTTAGGGCCATGTGTAGCCTGGGGTTGCTAGGGCCATGTGTAGCCTGGGGTTGTTAGGGCCATGTGTAGCCTGGGGTTGTTAGGGCCATGTGTAGCCTGGGGTTGTTAGGGCCATGTGTAGCCTGGGGTTGTTAGGGCCAGTGTGTAGCCTGGGGTTGCTAGGGCCAGTGTGTAGCCTGGGGTTGCTAGGGCCATGTGTGTAGCCTGGGGTTGCTAGGGCCATGTGTAGCCTGGGGTTGCTAGGGCCAATGTGTAGGCTAGGGGTTTTAGGGCCAGTAGCGTAGACTGAGGGTGTTTGGGCCAATTAGGTAGACATGGTGTTATTTAACCCCCCCCCCCCTTCCCCACCAGCGTGTCAAATACCTTCTTCGCACATTGGTGTACATTAAATCAAACCAGTTTCGTTTCTCAATAAACAGGTCAAACTGGAGCTCTACGACACGGGGAAAACTGTGATGACGATGCTGTTCAATGCCACGGGCAGTAACTACAATAACTGGTTCACGATTGACAGACTAGTTCAGTCCCCTTACAATGACATCTCAAACGCAGCAAACTTCTCTACCAACGGGTGAACATTATTTGCAGTTAACAAACTTTAAATTTTAGCAAATGTATAAAATCTATTAAAATCTATTTTTAAAAAAAGACTAGATTACAAATCTTATTATTTAAAAACTGTTATTATAGATTTAGAAACATATATTTTAAGTAGAAGAAACAATCAAAGTTAGATTTTTCAATATATATTTTGATTTCAGAACTTACTAGTTTTTTTTTTTAATTGCTTATTAGCTTTCATTATGCAATCTTCAAAATATCTAGAGGGTAGGTGGATGTAGTTAATTATCCTTTAGGATAATTTTGTTTGTAGTGAACTTTGTGATACGGTAGAATGCCTGGCCAACGGAATAGAATGGTGAGCGACTAAGAAGATTGTATAGCACGATTTCGCTCAGTGACTTTGATGTGAAACTGGTTTTGAAATTTGCGCGTATAATAATGATAATACATTTTATTTTGAAACGGTTACAGCAGTTGGCATGTAGGCCTTATTACACATTGGACGTTATTATAGAAAAAAATAATATCAATAATAAGTAAAGATATTTTACAGGTCTACACATAGTGCCGATGCTCTGATCTAGATAAACCGACAAACAAAAAACAATAAATAAATAAATAAACAAACATCCACCTTTTTAAGTTTTAGTAGTATATTAATAGATGACATTGGTAATATTGTTTGATGAATGCCAGAGAATTACGCAGTGGTATCTTTTATGATGTAGCTTTCTAGCTTGAGCCTTAAAATCCAAATGTATACACAATGCACACAGTAGTTTCTACTCTACTTTAAGTTGTATTTCTCTACACGTATTACATACAATCATACTCATTTTTTGTTATTTTATAAAACAGAGAAAGCGGAAACAGACGCAGGTTCCTTGTGACCAAAACTCTGGACATCTGTTCATCCGCAACCGTCTGGTTCATGGTGGAAGACAGAAAGAATTCCATCTGTTTGTGGTCATCAGGGACGTACACCAGCTCCGCTCCAGTTTTCACATACAGCAAAGAAGCGAATGGTACTCTGATGAGCAACAAGAGTAAGTCACAGTCTTAGACACACACACACACACACACACACACACACACACACACACACACACACACACACACACACACACACACACACACACACACACACACACACATATGTATATATATATATATATATATATATATATATATATATATATATATATATATATATATATATATATATATATATATATGTATATATATATATATATATATATATATATATATTTATATTTATATTTATTTATTTATTTATTTATTTATTTATTTATTTATTTATTTATTTGTATATTTATTTATTTATTTATATATTTATCATGATTTATTTATGATTTCAGATTTCGGAATCGCCAACGTTCTAGCTATTTTTATCAAGTTTTAAAGCTAAGTGTAGGCATATCTTCATTATTAAGAATAAAAATTGTAATACACAAATAAATTAGCATATTTTACAGCTTGATAATAACATCATATATATATATATATATATATATATATATATATATATATATATATATATATATATATATATATATATATATATATATATATATATATATATTATATATATATATATATATATATATATATATATATATATATATATATATATATATATATATATATATATAATTAGTTTGCAGTTCCATCCTTATTAAGTATATGCCCATAACCGTTTGTATGTACAAGTAAGCATTGTCACTTTCGTCAGTAATTATGTTGTTCAAATTATTGTTGCTATTGTAAATTAAAGCTGGAGTGTTTGAAAAACCAGTTGTTTATTTTCAGTTTGTTTTCTATAGTTTTATAATCAGTGGGGCAAGCGAAGCAGAGTTCACCTGTTTCTGTGACTTCCGCATATGAACGGGATAGTGTGGTTAGCACTATGTCCAGCCGCCATTAGTATTCCCTTAAGTTGAGTTAGGTACTCGTCAGAGCTGGAAGGATTCAAGGCTGTTCGACTGAGACGAACACGGTATTTGAACTGAAGGCTTTCTGATTACAATGTTTCTTCAAAGCGGACCCCCCCCCCCACCCCTCCTACGAAGAAGAAACCCTTAACCACCCCCCCCCCCCCCACCGGAACGAAATGCGAAATGGAAATTTATCTAGAACATATATACCGGAAAATTTAGTCCGCGTCCCCCTCCTGGAAATATGAACTGCACCCACCCCCATAGAAAAAAGCCGGGAAGAAACAATGTCTGTATAACAGTGAAACATTGTTGGATCGTATCTTGGGAGTGTGTTTTGAGATTGCATCAGAAAAAGACAGTAGTTGTGCGCATGCGTGAGAGGAAGTAGAGAAGAAGGCAAGAACATGGCGTAGCTTGGCTGAACACGCTATGTGAAGACAAAATAAATATATATATAACGTAAAGGAAGGCTCGTCTTGTGATTTCGTATGTGATAGATGAAAGGCAGGAGTAAGGCCTGTGGCAAATTTATATCGTGAACCCAGTCACACACAAAAACACTGTGACAGTCTGGTTAGCAGTCGTGTACGTTACCATCGCGAACACTCCGTCGCATACTTTGAGTATAATTGAATTGTCGGTGTGTTTGAAACGATTTTTTTTTCTAGACAATAAAAGCAGGAAAAAATGTACACATCTCACAGTTCAATGCATTTTCCTGTATTACAGCATTTTAGAACACTGGAATCAACCCTCACTACCCCCCCCCCTTCCACCCCCACCCCACCACCACCTCACCCCATTTTAAAACGAAATAGCTACAATGAAAAACGTCTGTTTAAAATTAAAAAAAAAAAAACGTTGCGAAAAGTAAAGAAATCAATAACATAATTTAGTATCTACTAACATAACTTAACAGGTCGTGTATAATAATGCTTGCTTCAGGCGCCGCTAACCCTAGAAGCGCCACGGATTTAAACAAACAACAGAACAAGCCGGTGTCCTTCAGTCAATATTGGCCTCAACCAACAAGGGGTGGTGGGGGGGAGGGGGGCTTTTGTTATCTTGTTAGCACATGTTCACATGTCACACTTTGTTCACTAGCTTATGTTACGTCCTCACGCATTGGCTAATCAACGCTGATTACAGATAGAACCTGTGATTCTATTGGAGCGTCTCTAAGTAGACGACAATGTTCTAAGCTTGGATTGGCTGGCTGGATAATATACGCGGGGCGGGACCGGGTGGGAGGATTTTAGTTTCCACTTTGGCTCAAGGGAGACAAGATTACAGTAACAACATGTAAAGGGAGATAATTTTAATGTATTCCTTTATTTTAACCAAGGGTAGACAAACCTGATTGAAATAAATTCCTTTTTATTTTAGAAGTTGCCACATTTTTTTAAAAATAATTAAATAAATATGTGGCTCCATAATCTGATTAAAGATGTGATGACTGCGCCTTGATAATCAAGTCGCAAAGTCTGGACAGTAAGTTGAGAAGATCCAGATGTTGCCCATATATCAGGTCCCCTCTTTTCAGAACCCAAAGGACACGACTTTATCTATACTACTTGGCATCAGTTATATCACATGAACCACCTAAAAGAAACCAGATTTGCCAGTGGCTAAAATAGAATAAAATAATTGATTTTCAAGCAATATACTAAATGGTATTTTGATAGATTTTAACCTTTACCCTTACGCTAGATCTTACTCTCAATCTAACTTACATAACTAAGCCCAGCCGCCTTTACTTTCGCTAATGTGTGTTTTGTACCCATCAGTGCTGGGTGCACTCAGGGATATTCTACTGACTTGAACCTGGATTCGAACTTTCGAGTCTTTTGGGTTAGAAGGCTAGCGCTCTACCGCATACGCCACGCAGTCCCATAAGTAGTTCAGTGCACATGTTTTGTTGTTAGGAGTCATCTATATATATATATATATATATCAAATAATCATATTCACGCAATATATATTCCCATTTCTAATTCATTTTAAAAAGCCATTTAAGTCGTTTTTAACCATATCGCAATCAAAACAGAGCTATGATTAGCTATTGTATTTTACGTTAATGCTAAACAATAAACGTTGTGTATCCCTATCGGCTGGAAATAGTGTTAACCACAATTTCTCTTCATATCTCTTCATATGCCGATCTCTTAGTAAAGGTAAACTCTACTTCACTTGTCCCAGTCAGCTTTGAAAGAGAGTTTTACTTATCCTTATCAAATAAGAACGTAATTAATTAAAATTAATACTTTTTAAAAGTGCATTTAAAATATTTTCTAAAATAAAATTTTAACATTCATACATTGTAGATTTGGATATGATAATCTAATTAAATGTTAAAATAAACACGAGTTGATTTAAACATAAACATATATTTATATTTAAAATAAACACGAGTTAATGTAATCATTAAAGTATATAGACCTAATCTATTACACCGTTTCTAATTAAATCCATGACATTTTTTTCCACTTCATTTTAAAAAAAAAGCTTATCCCCCTCTTAAAGTCTCACAACACTTCACTATTTAAAAGCGCCTTTCTCGATAGCCCTAGAGTGTCCATTGGCTTAAGTGGCCTTAAGATAAACGTTTGGTTTACGTACGCTAGAGATCTGTTGTTAAGAGTGCTTTGGGTGATTAGGGTCTAATTAAGTGACCAATACAACCCGGCTTTGTCTTGTCGACCAGAGATGACCATTGCTTGAAGTGTTCGCACGTACTGAATAGAATCCTTTAACGCTTTCAGAATTGTATACCCCCCCTCCTTTAACGTTAACCCAGTTATCCGTGATGTGTATCGGATTAGCAACGTAAACGCAAACAGCTAACGTTGAATGTACGCGTCAGTTGACCCGCAGACGACAAAGCAGACGTAATACAAACACCAAACACCAACCCACCAATGGAAACAAAGCGGGAGGTCTTATCAAACGGGACAGGAAATATTTGGGATCCATCTTTTGCAGACGTCAACCTACCAACCAGGATTTTAGCAGTCTGTTCTGTTCTGGTGAAGTAAATTCTGGAGATACACCCTCAATTGTGAAGGATATAGATAAATTTTTTATTTCCCAAAATATCTAAAAGTGTCAGATATAGGTATTGGAAAATATTTTCTTCTTTTTTTTTTTGGCAAGTTCAAATCTTGTTACTGTGTTTTATTTCAAGGAGATTAATGTGATTCTTTATTATGCGGTTTGGTTTATAAATCTCGCTGTCGCTAATCCCTTAGGCAAAAGGTAGATATATTGTATCGAGGTATAAAGTTTACTTCATCCAGTTTATTAATTTACTGGAAACCAACAACTAACTATTTAAGTGTAAAAAATATATATGAAAGCTGAAATAAATTAGTGTTCTAAATAGCAGAAATGAATTCAAAATATATCTTGGGATTCAACGTAACAGTAATTATCTTTATTAAATGCAAAAAATTAATGAAATAACGAAAATAGGGTAATCTAAATAATTAAAAATTAATCAACTATTTATCGTGGGTTATTATACACATTTAGGAAATAAAACAGAAGACATTTGCCAATAACGAATTTTATTATTCAAAATTATTTGAGATTGTTAGCTTGAACCTTCACTACTTTTTCGGTGAGCAGTTAGGGTTATGTCCCGTGGTAGTTCTATCCTAAATCCTAAACCATACCGTTAGTTACCGGTTAGTAATTACCAAAATGCGTGGACTCAGGGGCGAAATAAAAACACTGTATTACTATATTGCATAAGTGAACATAATTCAATATTCTCAGCTATGTTGAAGATAATATGTCCAACAATGGTAATTGTTATGCAGATGACTGTGAATAGCAAATTAATTTTAAAATTTCAGAACATGTTTGTTATATATTTAATTCTAAAATTCGTGCATATATTTGGTCTTATAACTGTAGTAACAAACCGTGGATTCTTCAATAACTAATAAGTACAAACTTCTGCGTTTAATTTATAACAGGAATATTTTAAATTTACCTTCAGTTGTATGTATTCTTATCTTGAATTTAAAGTTATAAAAGCTATTTTTAGCATTACCGGTATACGGGTAACATAAAATATGGACTTTTAGATCCAGCGTCGTATGTAGGTGTTAAACATCGAACCTCAGTTGTTGCAAAATTTAGACTGAAGAGATCCCTATTTGGTATTTGAAAAAAAAAATGCCGTCCTTTTTTTTAAAATAAAAATAAAGGTGAAAGAAAAAAAAATGTCATCCTTTTTTTAACTAAGAAATAATGGAAAACGAATTTGATACTTTTGTATTATAATGTAAGCTCTATTTGGTTAAAGATAGGATTAAAATATAAGAGTATAAAGTAGTCGCCATTTGCAACCGCTGTAAATATAAAGCGAAAATATAACTAGTTTCAATGTAGTTTCTATTACATAAAATAAAAAGACTAAAAGATGGATTAGCATTATTTCATTTCTCTATCTTAGGATATGGACTAAATTATGGGATAAATTAAGTTAAAATGTAGCGTCTATTATTTTAAGTTTAAATTTCGTCTTAAACAGATTA